GTGCCACGCGGGCAACGCCCGGCCGCGCCCGCCGGCGGCAGCGGCGAGGGGGAAGGGGGGCAGCGACTCGCGGGGAGGGGGAGTAGTGGGGAACCTCCCCGATCGCGTCGCTCGGGAAGGGCGACCGTGTGTGTGTGTGTGTGTGTGTGTGTGTGTGTGTGTGTGTTTTCACTCTATTGCTTACGAGAAGGATCTTGGGCGAACTCCCAGCTCAGCCAAACTGATACTCCCGTGGCGACATCCTTCGCCGGCGGCCGTTTGGGATGGAAGAGCTTGTCTGAGACCTTCTTGTTCTCGAACCACCCCTTTTTGGCGACGAACACGCGCGTGGGCATCCGCTCCTCGTCGGCGGTGCGGTTGTTCCGGCCGAACCGCTCGAGCTGCACGGAGTTAGAGGACCCTGCTGCCGTCGCTGCCTTGACTACGACGACGGGCGCCTGGCAGCAGCCTTCGCCGGTGCACAGCATGCTGCTCTCCAGGCTGGACGGCATGTACCCCAAGGGCCCGTGCACAGTGCATGTGTTAGTAAAGTCTTCGTGCGTTAAGTACACACCTTGCCAAACGCGCTGCTTTCCGGAAAGTACGGAATATCTCTCTGGAGTGTGCACGCTGTGCGCAAAGGCAGAGTGATATATCTCGCTCTTCACAAGTTTTATGTTGCATCAGCTCAAATTTTGTTCTTCTACGAGAAAATTTGCCTTTGTGTTCCAACGGGGACATAAACTCTAATAGTCCAACATCGATCTAGGTGGGATTACATCATTGTGAACATGTGCATCATAACTCAAGCCTGATCAAGCAATAATATAACGGCACTAATTGTTCATTAATCTGCTCGATCATTATGATGCAAGAAGTCAAAAAATAAAGAGTTAAATTTGGCTCTTTGTTGGGAAAATAGGCAATATGTTGTTTGCGCTAGAACTATATTTACAAGGGATTATAGTTCACTCAGAAATCTGAGATTATTTGCCTCTAGAAACGAACATCTGCACTGATGCATTTCTTACCACCAAATTAGAACTCATTTTTTTCTCTTAAGGATCATATAGAAGAGTGATGTAACTTCTTAATGGGGGAGCTAAGTAATCAAGGAGCAGGTAGGAAAATAAGTAGTTGTTTAGGAAATGGAAAATTGATATATCTCAACATATATGATATATCAATATATAAATTAAGTCTTCCATATAACAATACTACAAAGCTACATTTCTATTTTTTCGTCTATATTTATGATTAGCTACTAGGCCCATCATACAAGACAAATCTGTATTACATTCATGATGTCATCTTCATCTTCACTAATGGATGATGATAAAGGTGCTAAATGATATATCTTTCATTTTCAGTAAGCCACTAGACTTTATTAATTAACAATAACCAATGTACAGTAAGAAGATAAAACAAATATGACAGAAGGATCCTGATGATTAATAAATAAATTATACTACCTTTGTACCAAAATATCAAGTTTTTTAGGCTAAAGTAAGCAACAAAAGCGTCTTATATTTTGATACGAAGGGAGTATATGTTATTGCTCATTGATGAATTAATTTCTTTTTTGCCCGTGTAAACAATTTGTAACCAGTCTAATAAAATCCTTAACTAGTACTCTGGTTTATAGTAATACCTTGATTGACTTGAGTGAGTCCGATTGGAGCTTGTTTGCTGGCAAGACTCCGGCCGCCACCCGCGCCTGGTTGCAAGGTCGTGGCTTTCGTGATGATATAGGTGACATAGCAATTCCACGGCAAGTGCGCTAGAGACTGGCTTAAGCAGCGGCGGCGGCCGGCTGCTGGTGGCAATGCTCAACGAAGCCCTAGCGAGTTGAGGGAGTCGCCTCAATGCATGCGTGCGCGTCGATGGATTGTGTGATGTCCAGCCGATGGTGTGGATGCGTACGTACATGAAGCCATGGCCCGCTTTTTGCAAATTGCGTTTTGGGCTTGACACATTGGCTTAGCCCATATACTCGCTATGGGCTAATATTAGTGCTAGCCCCCGCTACAACTCGTTGAGGGGGGCCGGTCCATGGGGGGGTCTGGCCCCCGCTCGCCCCCCTACTGCCTCCGCCCCTGCCCGTCTGGGTTGAAATTTTGCGACCGGACAGTGACCGGACGGTCCGCCCGGTCGTATGCGGCAAGTATAAGGCGCCCGGCTGTAAATGCACTAACAAGTACATTTGACCTTTGTAGCAACATAATGCCAAGAGCTGGTTGAGACAGCGATGTTACACACAGCCAAGTAAAACAAATAAATGACCTCCAATAGTCATGCCGCAGCAATAAACAAGATGCGGCAGCAACAATCAACATCAACCCTCATCGTTGGCAACACCCAAACTGTGAAAGGAACTCGAACAACGACGTCTTGATGAAGTAAACGGCGCAAAAAATATATAGGTGACCAACCATGATACGTCAACTCATATTGATCGAGAGAGTTATCGTATTTGTCAATTTGCCAATTGGAGAAACAGATTAGCCAAGAATTATTTTAGCTTGGAACGTTTCAAACAAAGTAACACTTTATATACACCTTAAAAAACTCACTTAATTATAGATGTCATCACATCACCATATACGTCAGCACAAATTATTTGAAAGTGTCGCCGTCCTTGAAATTTTTCCAGTTGAAGAAACGTATGAGCCAGACATATTAACCTTGTCCACTGGTGGAAAAAGGGCCTTTGGTCGCGGTTCGCAACTGCCATTAGTCGCGGTTGCGCAACCGCGACCGAACGGGCGCGACTAAAGGCCCCCCCCCCCCCTTTAGTCGCGGTTGCTTAAGAACCGCGACTAAAGGCCCGTCCACGTGGGCGCCAGGTGGCCGTCGGGGCGGACGACCTTTAGTCGCGGTTCTTGTGGCTAACCGCGACTAAAGGCCGCCATAGGTTTTTGAAAAAAAAATTGAATTTTTTTTTTCAAATTTCTGAATTATTTTAACCTCTAGTCTCTAATCACCACCCCTCATCACTTCTCAATTTATTCTTTTATCACCCCTCATCATTCCAAATCATCTAACTTCCCAACCGGTCACCCATCCCTCTCACTACTCCAGCCCAAGCACGCTTAACTTCCGGGTTCTATTCTCCCACGCTCCAAGTCTGCACTTGTTGTTTTCCTGACAATAATAAGATGTCAATCCTATTAACCTTCAGGAATTTTGCTTGAGCATGAAGTGACACATTTCACTGTTTGAGTTTGAAACTATTGTTTTAAAAAACAATAATTATTTAGTAACACTAATATTTCTTGAATAATTAGTTTGACCATTGTTTGACCACAGTTTGACCACAGTTGACCACAGTTTGACCAGATTTGACCAAAATTGAAATAATTAAAATAATTATTTAGTAACACTAATATTCTAGAATAATTAGTTTGACCATTGTTTGACCATAGTTTGCCCACTGTTTGAATATTTTTCAATTTTTTCCACTCTAGATCTTACAAGCCCCGTAACTTTTTTTCTATTAGGTTTTTGAGGATTTTGAAAATGTTTAACGGGGTTCCCCCATTAAATTTGGATGTAACTTTTCGAGTAGATGATTTTTCATATAAAAAACTTTTTCATCCGAGTTAGTATGCAAAAGTTATGCCCATTTTTACAAATTTCAGAGAGATTTTGCAAGTAAAGTCAAAATTCACATTTGCAAATTTTCCCAACAACTAGACCACATATCACATGAGAAACTTATTTTCTT